AATAGGAAGAGGCTAAGGTAACTCAAGCGTTTCAGACCAAAATGTTTATATCCAAAACAATCACAGCACAGCTCTATGCAGTTGTTTATGATTGCTGTGTTTACGCTAAATACTGTGTTTAAGACCATTATGTAATCTATAAGACAAACACATAACAAACGTTAAGATGATTTTGTTTCATTCTTAAATATGTGGTGTAAAAATTAATTCATCTTAAAACAATAAGCAGCTGTGAGGGGAGGGGCTGGCGTTGAAATTCCTTTCAGGTTAGGTTGTAGATACCCATCAGTGTGTGACAAGAAGCTTAAGACTGGTTCTGTTTCCACTGTTTGTCCATCAGAACATCTCAACATTAACTGAACTTAAACAATCCTGAGTCATCTGACAGAACAACAAAGACATGAAACAGGACTTAGATGAGAGGAAAGCAGAGGATGGCATGTCTGAAGCTATGGGGTCAAAAGAAAAGAGAAGTGAGAGATTACCCGAAAAATAGGAAATGTCATATGACAGCATCAGTCCATTTTCTGCTCTGTGACCTACATGGAACAGACAGGAATTTGGGGCATATGTGTGTCCTGTTTGGCTGAGAGAGATTGAGATGGGGCAGGACAAAATGTTCTTGTTGTGTGTATCTAATTATGTGTGATGCATATCTGACAACATTAGTCCGGCATGGGCTCTAAATGCCTGTTTGTGTTAGACGTATGGCCACAGGTCTGCATGTTTAGGTCTGGCAGGGTCTTTTCCCAGGGCTCTGGTGGATACTAGGTAAGTCAGGGTTGCCCTTTCATGGCTATAACCAGCTTTACTTGGATCAGAGACTGTTGCACAACCAGGCCCACCAACAGGCGGACCTAGTTTGGGACATGGGTGGAGTGAGAAAACATTCCTGTGTGTGTGTGCGTGCGCGTGTGTGTGTGCGTGCGCGTGTGTGCGTGTGTGCAAGGAACAGGGGACAAGTCCACGCAGACCCTTTGTCTTTACGTCTTACTGATAATCTGTAATCAGAGTGGGATCAGACAGCCCCCCAATTATGGACAGACACACACACACACATACACACACACACAGCTTCCTTCATTAGGCTACACAGACTCCAGTGATGCAGTTCCTGTTGCTTCGTGCTTCAGTGGCTCCGCACATCAACATGTTTGGCTCTGTTAACCCTGGGAAATTAGCCTAATCCTTCAGCTCACCATCTTTAATTACAAGCATGATTAGTCACAGAAAAACTTGACCATTTGGGGATGACACTGATCATACAGACAATTTGTCTGGTAACTGGAACAGCGATGGGGATGAAGCATTTCTTTGCCATGTGTGGTAAAATAAATAGCCTTATAAAAGCCTGTATAAAAATGACATCATAACTGTGCAGTGACCAATCATAGACAGTATAAGGGCTTTCTGTAGAGCTGTAAAAGAGGCTGCCTCTGTTGGAAACCACCTGACTGACCAACTGTTTGTGGTTGCTTTGCTTTCGTAACTGAAGGAATTCTGCTGACAGTGAATTTTTATGATCAATGAACGGGCGTTGATTCGGTGCCAGTGTGTACATGTCATTAGGCCTTCTTATCACTCTGTCTAAAACCTCTATCTACTCTGCGCTGCAGGGAACTCCAGGTCAAACGGTTCAGCTGCCTCGTCCTTTGCCCTCTTTATCTACATCTTCATTCAGAGGGCATATGTTTGATTCTTCAAATAATTGAGTCATCTGTGAGACAGGAGTTAACTGGGACATCTTCATATTTACCTCATGGAGTGATCACATGGATGAAATAGGCACTTCATTCATGCTTGCCCTCATAAAGCTATTAATACTGTTTTGTTTATAGACGAGAACAGACCAGGCGCTGCTCTCAAACATCACCTCTTAGTTTTTTTCTGTGCCAGCCCGGCGGGCTATTCTAATTCTGTGATTCATTTGGTCGCCTTGGCTGCCCGTCAAGAGGATTTAGTAATGATTAGACTTACTGTACAAAGTGTTTATTAGGTAAATTGACTTGTGGATATGGGCTGTCTTCTGTTTAATGCTGCTGTACAGTAATTAACACAATGCAAAATCATTGATTTTTAAAGCCAAATTACCCAAAAGCTTAAATTAATTGCCAAATGTGTAGAGTTTCCCGGCACTCAGGAATGTGCCCTTGGCTAAGTGATTGTGTATGTGGTAAAGAGATGTCGGACTGGTTTTTCTTGCCCTCTAGTACTCCTCTCTATTGGTTGGCACAGACACAGAGAGACTGGGAGTCGATATAGTCTCACATTCTGGCCCAGACTCTCAGTCTGCCCTGTAGCCTCTTGTTCAACCCGATTATAGGATTTCACTTCACACACTAACCGACTGATTGCAAATATTTGTCTCCCATGTCTGTAGTTATTTAACACTTAGCTTATAAATGAGCTAAGAAACTTTCTCATCTTCGTTGTGTAAGTCTGAGATACGGCTCAGTGGGCATTTGGAGTGGTTGTTTTTGTGCGGTTGTGTGTGTTTGTGTTGCTCATTCTTCTGTAGATCTGTCATTTGTTTATTGTTAAAAGTGACGTACAGATGAGATCAATTATTAATGAGATTTCCGTGTAATAATTTCCTAATGGCACTACTTGTTCTATTGTTCCATAGCTGTTTGTTTGATTTTAATTACATTTATGTTTACCTATTTAACTTGTATATCTGTGTCTGTAACATCCTGTAAACTTGTCCATATTGACGTAGGCCTACGTGAAATACTCACATTAAAACTTACAAGTGAAATTCCTGCATTCATCATGTCAGTTGAGTAAAAGTAGATAACTATTATAAGTGAAATGTACCTACCTATGAGTATCAAGAGTGAAAGTGCTTATATTCAGAAAAAATGGCTCCTGTGAGTGATTACGTATTATATTATTGGAATAATATTTATGCATTTATGTGTAAGTAGCATTTGATTGTTGTGGTTGATGGTCAACAACTATTTATTATAATATTGGGTAGTTTGATCTACAACACTGCGTGACATATTTTGTATGTAAAATCTGAACTGGAAACCTGTCAAATGAATGTAGTGGAGTAAGAACTACATTTCCCTCTGAATTGTAGTAGAGTATATGTACAAAGTAGTGTGAAATACTCAAGTGGAGTATAAGTACCTCAAATTTATAAATAAGTACAGGACTTCAGTAAATGTAGGCTTCTTATTTACATCCTACCACCGCTCTGCACTGTGTGTAAGTATTGAGAGCTACTGAGCTTCTTCTTCAAATTCCTTGTATTTGTCAATACACTTGGCCAATAAAGTTGATTCTTGTAGTATAAATAATCACAAATATAACCGAGTAATATTTTTATGAAGAGATGTACTTGTATTCATGTTTGTCAGTAAATGTTGATCATCATACAGTAAATTAAAAAAGTCCCTCACCCAGGATCTATTTTTGGATGATTGGCGGCTGCCTGCCGTGCAGCTCAGAGCATGATGTCATCCCTCAGCTGGGAGGGGAGGGAGGCGGAGCTCTCCTTGCTGGCCAGTTCACTGAGTTTCAGGTGCGCTTCAACTTTCACAACAAGCCCGTCGGGTTGGAGCGGCAGGAGTGTCCGGCGAAATTATAAAGATTCGGCACCGGGGATTTCACAGGCTAGGATTAAACTTTTCACTTCAGCTAAAGTGTCAGGACAGATGAAACTAAACAGCTCGACTTCACTGTGGAGAAAATGCACTGGGAACAATTTCTCCGTTTGACGAATGGAAAGGTGAGCGCCGCTTTCTGCCCATGCTGCGGTCTCCTTTTGTGCTATTTTGTGACAGAAGGTGACTGATCGCAAAGTGCTAGTTTAGTTTTTCTTTACTGTAAAGCCACCTGGCAGGCAGAAACTTCCATCAGGAGTTTTGGCTTTCTCCCGGATGCATTGTGGTTTCTGTTGTTGACTGCGATGCCTGTCATCAATTAGTCATGGCGATGTGCACACAGGTGAGCCTCTGGTGCCTTATGTTTTTACCTGTTCTACGTGTGGTAATTACAGCAAGCCCATTTACAGGCTGAGTGATGTGTGAGTGGTGGATGCCGGTGTGAATAACCGTCACCGGCGCGTCTCTCGGCTTTTCGGTGTTCTGGCTTGGTTTCTAAGCCCCTGTGGTGTGCTGTGCTGTTAGGTTCAGCTGCTTATTTTCTGTGCACGCTCAGTGATGAGAATAATATTTTGATCACAATCCCCCCTTGAAGCAAGATTACCTCCAGCAGTATCACAGTGTGTTCAGTGTGTTCTTTCCCCTGAGGCGTTTGAGGAAATGAATCACACCGTCGTGCCTGTGATTGAAGGTGCGAAGTTCATCATCTGCTCAGGTTGAGTTTATCTACTTTTTGGAAAATCCAGGAAAAACTCAATTTAGATTGTGTCTTTGATTTTCCCATAAATGCTTCGTGGCTTATGGACAAAATCAGGTCAGCATCTGAAAAAACAACACAGACAAATATTCTTAATCTGTGAAACTGTTGTAAACAAAAATCTAATATCCTGCCAGTCTTCTCCCATATTGTTGCTCCTTTTAACAAAAAAAAATTGATATGGCTGATACTCTTTATTCTGTTGTTGCCTGTTTAACCAAACAAAAAGAGACTTGTGGATAGCTCTGAATTCACACCTGGAAGTGTTGAGTTTTGTATGGATGTGCTAAAGAATGTGAAATATATTTTTTTTCTTTTCTTCTTCTTTTTTTCTTCCACTTTCCTTTCTTTGTAAAACCCTAAATGAAATACTAATATCTTGCATCTTCCTCTTCAGACAAACTGACCGCTAGTTGCCTTTTCAACTGCCTCAATTTGCCTTTTTCAAGGCAACTGGCTGCAGAAATGCAGAAGCCTCTGTTTTCAGTGTGTCAGCAAAATGACTAAGAAACCATCATATGCAACCCCCCCCCCACCACCACCCCTTCTTATTTTCCTCTTAAATTCCTTATTCCGTCATCTGACCTCCTTACCTACCCTAATCTTCTTCTTCTCCTATGTCCTCACTTCAGATCGACCGGCTGGAGGTCAGTGGACTGGGCCAAACACCCCTGGCTGTGTCTTGTGGGGCAGATAGTTCATTCCCAGGGGGTGAGGATGTCACTCCTGACCCTCAGCGCACCAAACAGGCGATCGCCCAGCTGCAGCAGAAAATCCTCAAGCTCACAGAGCAGATTAAGATCGAGCAGACAGTCAGGGATGACAACGTTGCAGAGTACCTCAAACTGGCCAACAATGCTGACAAACAGCAAAGCACACGCATCAAACAGGTGAAATAACGAGTTATTGCGCTGCTTTTGAAAATTTTTGTGAAAGACTTCATCCAGGAGACAACTTGACTCATGTTTTTAACAGACTGGTATGCTTATGTGGCAATTAGTGAATTAACGTTAAACCTGTTTGCTCTGTTTTGCTTGTACCTAGAGGAAGGCAGGGAGCTCACTAAATATATGGAAGTGGACCGTTTTATTGCAGTGTCATCTGTATTACTCTCATTAATGAAATCTTGTTCTGTGGCTGTCAGGTTTTTGAGAAAAAGAACCAGAAGTCGGCACAGACCATCCAGCAGCTGCAGAGGAAGCTGGAGCACTACCATCGGAAACTGCGAGAAGTGGAGCACAACGGTATCCCACGCCAGCCCAAGGATGTTCTGCGGGACATGCAGCAGGGCCTGAAGGATGTCGGAGCCAAAGTCACAGGCTTCAGTGAAGGTGTTGTGGACAGCGTCAAGGGAGGCCTGTCCAGCTTCTCACAGGCCACCCACTCTGCTGCAGGGGCTGTCGTTTCCAAACCTCGGGAGATTGCTTCGCTGATTCGCAACAAATTCGGCAGCGCTGACAACATCCCCTCGCTCAAAGACTCTCTGGATGACCCCTCAGTGGACGAGGGTGTGACAGGGGCTGGTGGACGTTCACTGGGCAGTGCTGGGCATCACCTCCAGTCCAGTCCTAAGTATGGTAGCGAGGATGATTGCTCTAGTGCTACGTCAGGCTCAGCGGGAGCCAACAGCACCACTGGGGCACCTGGAGGCCCCCCCAGTTCCAAGGGCAACACACTGGAGAGGAGCCAGAGCTCCAGCCTGGACATGCTGCTGCAGGAGGTGCAGGAGCTGAGGGAGGGTCAGGCACGGCTAGAGGAGAGCCTTGATGGCTTGAAGAGCCACTATCAGAGAGACTACACAGTTGTTATGCAAGCACTACAGGAAGAACGCTTCAGGTACAAAGAGAAAAGAGAACATATGACATTGTGTGTCATACATTCCTGAAGTGTTTCGAGTTAACACATGAAAACCCCTAAATCTGCAGTCGTGTGTAATCAGGAAGAATGACCATATTTAGAAAGATACTCCTGAACACATACCATCACAGGCAACACTCCCACTGCTTGTGCTCTAGACAGCTCTTTTATCAAAGCTTTCTCAAAGTAGATCAAAACAAAACCCTGACCTGGACCTCATCTGCATAAACATGTACAGCTTGTATAAAGATGCTGCTTTTATAGTCAGTCTCAAAGCATATGTGCCACAGCCACATTCATTATGCAGATTTTGAGTGGCAGTGTTATTGTTCTCTATGTGTCCCTCATGAACAGGACTGTTACAGCAAATAGCAAGTTCTTTTAGCATTTATCTGAACTGGGTATTAAATTGTTGTTATTAATAGCTTGTGCATATATTAGAGAATTTTAAGTTAACATTTAGCCGCAACTGGCTTGCTCCACAAAGGGGACAGACACACCTGCACATTTCACAAGTGTCGTCTAAATGCAAAGATCTTCAGTGTTATTTCAGCCCCCGTCCCAGCTCTGCATATAGACTCAGACATCTGTGTGAAGCTTCTGTGGGCAGTTGGCCTTAAAAAAAACACACATTCACATTCCTCCAGAATGTTCTGAGGACAAGGCACAAAGATTAAGAGGGTCAGCAAAGAGGCAGGACAATGGTTTGGGGGTGGGGGGGTTTATAGTGAAAGAGCATTTTTCTCCCTAAAATGTCCATTTGAGTCGAGAATGGTCTGTGTTTGTCCTCTAAGACCAAAATAATAGTAAGCACTATGGAGCTGTTTTCAGCCTGCCTACAGGGAATAATCATTCATAAACCAATCATGTTGCTCAATAGCTCCTCAGGGACCGAATCCACCCTTAGCATAACCAAGAACTGCCTAAAATGTGACTGTCTAAACTAGGGGCTGCAAACAATGATTATTTACCTTATTCATTAATTTAATCTGAAACAATTAATCAATCAACAGAAAATTAATCAGTAACATTTTTTATAATCACTTAAATAAGTAGTAATTTCTCAAATTATTACGCCTTCTTGAATGTGAATGTTTGTTAGTTTGCTTAGTTTTCTGTGATGGTAAAATCATATATCTTTGGATTTTGAAGGCGTCACCTCGGGCCATTCCGTATTATTTGACTTTTCCGGACCAAAATAATCAGCAAATAATTTTTTTTTAGTGTATACAATCAATAATAATAATGATAATGATAATAATAATAATACATGAGTTCATAACCCAGAGCTCAATATGACATCTTCACTGTTCAGTTTGATCAACCATCAAAGAAATGAGAAAATAAAAACAAGCAAAGCTTTTTTAAATCACATTCCACCACCCAACATTATATACATACTGTTTATATTACCTACCTGTATAAGAATATCTGTATAATTCTGTTAAATTCAGGCACGCCTATACAGGCGCTGTCCCTCTCTATTCTTGACCTATGCTGTCCATCCAATTGTATGTGCCTGCCAAAATAAACAGCAGTATAGCTCCTTCTCCTCCTGCTTGGCACATCCCATTGGCCTGTCTCATACTGCTGACTGTCTCTGATTGGCCAGTTGGATCAGGAGATGAGTAAGCATGTCCTAATCTTGTCAGGGCAAGTCATCAGTCCAGTCAGGTGCCGTGTGGTCAGATGCCTCTGGGGTCTGTTTCTGCTAATTCCCGCATGTGTTTCCTTGTCTAAGCTAATTATGCCACCGTCTCTCACGTGTGTGTGTTTTACTTTCCATCTGTGTGTTCAGGTGTGAACGTCTGGAGGAGCAGCTGAACGACCTGACAGAACTTCACCAGAATGAGATCCTGAACCTAAAACAGGAGCTGGCCAGCATGGAGGAGAAGATCGCCTACCAGTCTTATGAGAGAGCCAGAGACATCCAGGTTTGTCTGTCAGGCTAGGATCCACAAGCACACCATCCAAGTGTCTAAAGTAAATTAGCTGTAACAATCAGCTCTGTCAGAATTGCATTTTTTTTTTTCTTATTCTCTATCTGTATTCAAAATTGGATGTGTTATAAATGGCAGTGAGTTGTAGGGATGATAAGGGCAGATAAAGCAAAGTATTCATTATTCTGGTCCTCACTCCTGACCGGTTGAGTCATGTTGAAGGCATAACAAAATACCTTATAAACAAACACCAACATGCTTGACATTTCATATATAACAGTATATAACTAAAATTCAGCATTCACTCATAGAGGTACTTACTGTTAATATAATTGTTAAATAATTTTATGGTCTCTTCTAATATATGGAACTCCAAGATGACATATATTACATGAAAAGATACATAAATTGATAATTAATAATATCAGTAAATGCAGGGAAACACAAAAATGATTTTGTTACAGTCCTTATGTAGTAGTCTAATTTCATTTTCATTTTTCAAGTCTTATGTTTATTTCACTGTGGTGTTTTTCACAGTGATGCTTTTATTTTTATGATGTTGTCACCAGTCCCCGTTTCCTAGACTATTATCCAATCACATGCCCTGCAACCTCTCAGCCCACTCAGCAGCTGATTCTGACTGTAGCCAGGTAGCTCCTGTTAGCTACAGCAACAACAATGCCGATGTAACACTGAGTTACTGTGATAACAAGAGTGACAAAAATGACATTTCACACAGATAAATATAGTTTTAATCATTTTAATTAAATCACAATTTGCTGGTTTAAGTTTTCAGAATATATTCTTATGACTCATAGTATTTCTTTGTGTCTTATGTATTTATATATTTTTGTTGTTTTGGAGTTCCACATTAAGAGGTCTCAGTGCTCAGCCTCTCTATCTTATTGCCTTATGTTAGTTAGTCATAAAATAATCTGCTCAGACTAGACATCACTAAATTAGACTGAAACTTTGAGGTGGTCACACACCCTCTGACAGTTGAAGGCATTATCTCATTGTGCGTGTTGACACTTTAAACAGAAAGATAAGACAGAGAATCCAGTCTGTCCATCTGCATGTCTGTTTGCTCAAAACATCAGGCATTTCCTTGTTAATAACTCCTGTCCTTTCCTGTTGTCAATGAGGGCCTAGTGTGTGTGTGTGTGTGTGTGTGTGTGTGTGTGTGTGTGTGTGTGTGTGTGTGTGTGTGTGTGTGTGTGTGTGTGTGTGTGTGTGTGTGCCTATATGAAGTGTACGTACAACTCAAGTTGCCCCTTGCTACATTTGCTTTCCCTCCCAGTGGGGGGTGGTAGAGCTATATGAAATATACTCCCAGTGGCCACTTTATTAGATACACCAGTAAAACCTAATGCATCCCAATAGAACAGCCAGAGCTGTCAATGCCACCTTAATGAAACTGATAGTTATTTTTTAAATGACACTGTCACAGAGGTGTTCATTTAACTATGTTTATTAATGAAGTTGTAGTTTGCAGTGGTGTTGAACTGAACTTTATTATACTCAGATGTGTTTGTAATGTTTTTCCCACATTGATGTATTTACAGACATGTTAGAAACACACTTCAACATAAAGCCAGTCCAGCACAGAAAGGTGACCACAGAGTGTGTACTATAGTTTAGTTTTTGTAGATGTTTTGTTTCTGTGTGACTTGGCTGACTTTTCTTCCTCTGCATGTCCTCTGCAGGAAGCATTAGAGGCCTGTCAGACCAGGATCTCTAAGATGGAGCTTCAGCAGCAGCAACAGCAGGTCGTCCAGTTGGAGGGGCTGGAAAATGCGACAGCCAGGACCCTCCTGGGAAAACTTATCAATGTGCTGCTGGCCCTTATGGCTGTCCTTCTGGTCTTTGTCTCAACTGTGGCCAACTGTGTGGTCCCCCTGATGAAGACACGCTCGCGCTCACTCTCCACTCTCCTCCTCATCCTCCTGCTGGCCTTCTTGTGGAGAAACTGGGACGCTCTCTCGGGGTACACGCACCGAGCTCTGCAGCCACCAGGATGACCAGACCGAAGCCAGCAACGTGTTGCTTTGGTGACGCCAGGTGATGTAACTGTAGCCAGAGTCGTGCAGGATGTTTGAAGAACGCGATTGCCGTTAGGATGGCTGTGTGGCCGGGCACTGAAAATTCGGCTGAGCACTTTCGGACACGCCCTGGAATCAAGATAAAGTGGAAGAAACAGAGTACAGCTGAGAACACTCATGATTTTCATTTAGGAAGGATGAGACTGTTTACATTTTGAAATGAACTGTTGTGTTGTTATCCCTCACAGAATGCAGCATTGTACTGTTTTTACTGTTCTTTAGAGTTTAATCAATTATAATGTTATTATTTCTAATAATATTATTTTTATTTTCAATGTTATTTTATTCAGTATCATGTAGCGTTACGCTTCCCTCACTCTACATGAAGGGGAGTTTAGTCAGGAAACCGGGCTGGCGATTTCGCCCCAATGGCCTAGTCCAATTGTAGAGACATGCAAATGTGATAATGACTTCCTTTAGGAAGAGAACTCTTACCTAGCTGTGACTGGTAGATTTGAACCATGGCTGAAAACCTTCCTGGGAGTTGCTTCTTTCTTGCTGTGATGAAATTTGTTCAGACAGAACATTTTGAAGGACCGACCATGACTTTGGAGTGTCATGATGACTAGAGACTTTTTGTGCTTCCTTACCATTTCTAATAGCAAAGATCACATGCTTTTACTTATTTCCCTTTTTTTTGAGTAAAACAGGAAAACATGTGTTACATAGGGGAAATTATTAATGAAACTGAAAATATAAAGAGAAAATGGGCCAGTTTAAGAGGGAAAAGCTACTACAGGCTGCTTACCATAGAGACAGCACATAAACAAAGAGAACATCTGGTTATTGTCAAGCACCTGCCATATTTGCAGCATGTGTAGAATGCTGCGTGTTTTCATCTAGAAAATTACAAAGGAACCGTTCTTTCTTTTAAAAGCAATGAGAAAAGGCCATCTTCCTAGTGAAATCAATTTACAAGGATAATTGCCCCTCCCCCTCATATTTGATTTGATCAGGTTAGGAAAAAGAGACTACTGGTGCTTTTCCAGATCCATCTAATTTGGAACAGTAATGCTGCTGCTTCATATCTACAGTGCAAGTCGTCTCCACTGCCATGCCAGTCAAATGCACACTGCCAGTATGTGACATTGTACTATTCATCAGACACTCTCCCTGCATATTATCTCAGTGGCCGTCCTTCTGTTGTCTACATGTACACCATGTTAATGGTGTAATGACCCAGTGCCAAACCTTAGTTAACCCAGGGATGCCTGTGCACCCGAAAGCGCCAACCTGAGAGGACAGAAAAGGGAGGTTGCTCAGCAGGTTTAGCTTCTATTCATGAATGTCTTGCATTGATGCCAAGGATGTATCTTTTTGGGAGATGTAACTTTTGCAAGGGAAAAGCTATTAGAGAATTCATAACCTGAACATGAACTTGACTCCGGATCCTCAGTTGTGTTTCTGCACCTTGCTTTCTTGAGTACAGTTCCTCAGCTCAGCGTCCAGTCTTTCTTACACTCTCCCTCTTTCTCATCTAGTCAAGGACACGACAAGATGACCTAGCACGTTAAATAGTCCACCCTGCATTTCATTGCTGAGACGCTGATTTCCTAACAGATAGTGAAATCATTTGTACCGTACAGCTGCACTTTAGCACACTGCTAGATAACATGTAGGTCAGGTTGAGGCTTGAGAAACCTTTGATAGAGACTTCAAAGGTTGTCACTCTTAAGACATTAGTCCTCAGAGGGATAAGACGAGTTGACTCAGGTCAGGATCACTGTCATCTCTGTCTTAAGATAAAACTCACACGGAGTAATTTTGCTCATTTCTTGTCAAAAATGTCGACAAAGTTGATTCCTCTCGCGGCAAACATGCAATTAAAATGGCAGGAAGTAGATTTAAGAATCTGTTTCAATTTTGCCATCGTGGGCGAGGCAGACAAGTTGAGAGTGAGCTGACTTTTGACCTTAGCTTGACCTTGAAGTATCTCCTATGATATAGGGTTGTGTGCTAAACCACTCTAGTGCCTTCTGACGTCCTTTTCTAAGTGTGGAATAAATAAAGTGCATTCCTGACTAAACTTATGTGCTATTACTACTTCTTAAAAGTGACTTATTTTAAATTGAACTCTCCCTGTCTGTTTGTGTGTGTGTGGTGTGTTTGTGTGAGTGTGTGTTTGTGTGTGTGTGTGTGTGTGTGTGTGTGTTTGTGTGCGTGCGTGCGTGCGCGTGGTATGTGAACATATTCTGTGGTCAAAGTCCTCTTGCAGGTTCATCATGTGGCCGCTAGATGGAGATCTTTTGCCTTGTATCCCCATGATGTTTTTTTTCCCCGTAGCTGTGAAAGGCTGTGTTTAGTTTGTGTGAATGGTCTGCTACAAGGGAGGTTGGGGTCTGAACACATGGAGGTGTCACTTCTTATCAGGAAGGAAACAGGTTGGGTGGAAGGCCCCTTTAACCGCAGTCTTGGGCCACCAGGGACAATATTTTCACTATAAACACAGGAGAGACCATTTTTACCCCACTTTATTCAACTATTTTCCCTCTCTCTCTCTCACACACACACACACATTCTTCCACACACACGCGCGCACACATGCACACAACTTAATTCCGTTGGATGTGTTTGATTGAGCAGCACCAAACCGCAACACTCAGTCACACCTCGCCGGTGATATCTGATGCTGACAGCTCTGACCCGCACTGAGCCTTATCCCTGCAGGACCTCATGTTCGCCTCCTCGCTGCCTGCTGAGGCTCGCGCTCTCACGCACGCGCGCCCTGTCGAGACTGTTGGCGGTTCAGTCATTGTGCAGTGCACCAGTGCAGTTGGTGGTGGTGGGGGGGGGGGGGCATTATGTTGCACTTTATCAGAGCGCCTTCCTCATTTTCTACCCTGCCAGATTTGATGCGCATGGCTGTGCGCCAAGGTAAACACGGGGCGCACTTATCTGCCCTGCTGAAAGCTGCAAGTGGTGACTGGGGGAGCCGCGAGAGGAGAGAGTGAGTTTGTCCCCAGAGGAGTCCACAGTAAATAGGCACAAGCGATTGCGCACGATTTAGCATCAACTCTAATTATTGCATGATATTTCAGAGATAACACGCCTGCAAACTGATTTATGCAGCGTCTGACACATTCGTGCTCGTTTCCCTACCAGGGATCATTCATTTCTATTCAGAGGTGTGAGCATATGCACACTCCATCCACAGACAAAAATGCTAACCATATTCGTGCATTTTTGAGTGGGGGCGCATGTGTTGTGCTTGAATATTTATGAGGTAAAGCGCTCAAGAAAGCTATGTTGGATAGATGTGAATGTCAAAAACCGGAAAGGTGTGCTGATGTGCCCATCTGGTAGCACTTTCACGGTGCTTACAGCGCCGTATGTGCCCAAAACGGAACCCTCCGGATCTGCAGAACTAATCTGAGAGCCGGGTGAGTGGGGAGCACAGGAGGTGGGAGGATGACCCGTCATTAACCCCAAGATGAGCGGAACCACGCAGGGGCAGGGATTTATCAAGTGTCCCATCTTGAAAGGAAAAGTGAATGGTCACTACAACTTCATGTGGCACCATGAGTTCACCTTCTAGCTTAGATAAATTCATGTTTAAAATGAAGTTAATATTCGATCTTGCGCTTGGACACGAACAAATTAGTGTCAAATGCAGATGGATCAAATGAAAAATGACATTCGGGTAAAATTAGGTCTGATAATTGTAGAGTGATCGATCACAACACAGTGGCCTGACAGATGGGAGGTGGCATTACAGGGAGGAAGTGCCACTCCTCAATGAGTTAGCGCCCCCGTCCACAGTAAAGCCAATTTTACTTTTAAATATGTACTTTAATAATTCTTTATCCGTGGATCAGATGTTGAATAAGCCGGACATAAAACATGGCTTGTAACAAGTTTGGTCACCTTTGTGCGGGTATGACATTATCCAGAAATTGCGCATAAGCAAATCAACTTTAAACAAGCTGTTTGTCATGAGTAGTCCATTGTGTAAAGATCATAAAAATCTGAACGAGGTATTGTGACTCAGTGCTTCAGGAGAGAGGCTGCTGAGCAGCACAGTGGGCAGAGAGGGACAGAGGAGGCAGCCTGAAAAAGGAAGCACGACTCGCTTATCGCGTCATTCTGGGTCTAGGCGTTGAGCAGGAAACAGCCTTTCCTCTCGGATTGTCGCAGTCGGAACAAACACACAATTTTGTCTTTGCTCAATGCACCCCACGGCACAGAACACGCGGAAGCCGGTCAGAAGGAAAAATGCCTCCTTCGATAGAGATAGCTGTTCTGCTCCTCGGCGTCCTGGCTTTGGAGACGCGCCGGAGTGCCAGCGCGCTGCACATCCAACAGGCTTTCACGTCTCCAAATCAGACCAATAACTTCGTGGTGGACCCGGTGTCCAGAAAGGTCTACCTGGCCACCGTCAACACGGTCTACCAGCTGAACGGTACCTTGAGCATCGAGGTGGAGAAGAGGACCGGGCCGGTGGAGGACAACCTGTTGTGCCATGCGCCACAGCTGCCCCAGGCTCCGTGCGAGCATCCTAAATCCCTCACTGACAACTACAACAAGCTCCTTAAACTGGACCGAGAGCAAGGGGTCGTAGTGGTGTGCGGATCCGTGTATCAAGGCTTCTGTGAGCTCAGAAAGATGGATAACATTTCGGAGATAGCGGTGGAGTTCCCACCTCAGGGCGAGAAGACTGTTTTCCCCAGCATGCTCAACATTGCTGCTAATCACCCAAACGCATCCACTGTCGGGCTCATCTTCAAGAGCCATGGGGGAAACACCCGGCTGCTCGTCGGGGCCACGTACACGGGGGCTGGTACCCAGTTTTTCCCCAAAAATCACAGCAAGGAGGACCTGCGCTTTGAAAACACCCCGGAGATCGCCATCCGCTCCCTGAACGTCAAGGATCTATCCCGACTTTTCACTTATGACATTAACCCTTCTGAGGATAACGTATTCAAGATCAAACAAGAGGTTAAAACCAAAAACAAGCTGAACTTCGTCCACGCTTTCATTCAGAAGACTTACTCATATATCGCCTTCAATAATGACGCGAAAACGGGCCACAAGGAGAGTCAGCCCAACAGCATCCTCGCCAGGATATGTCTGGATACAGAGAACCCCCGAAAATCCTCCGGGCCGGAGAGCAGGAAGCTCACTGAGTCCTACATCCAGATGCCTCTACAGTGTGGATATAACGGGAACATTTACAACCGGCTGGTGTCTGTGTACCCCGCGGAGGTCCACACGGACGACGGGCAGGGCTCAGAGTCGTACCTGTTTGGAGTGTTTTCCAGACAG